AAGAATGAAACTGATGAGAAACGGTTTCTTTTGTTCAATTTTACCCCAGCTGGGATTCCGGGTTAGAATTAGGCCCAAGCAAACTATGTTTGTCGTTAGAGGCACCGCGACTTAACGGATTGGGTAGATGGACTCGGTTACTTGGTTCATTTCGTGTTTTCGTACGATGTTCATATTATCAACCACTGGTCTATAAGCCCAAACTCGATTATTTTCAGGCAGCCGACATAAAGCTGAAATCTTGCTGAGTGTGGCGCTAAACAATAAACAAACAAATAATCACCTGATATTGCGATGTTGAAGTATAGTGGTTCACGTGTAAGCTCATTACGCCGAAAATCCTCGTTCGAGTCCCAGCATTGGTGTAATTGTGGTGCCCCTTGTCTTAGTACTGATTTTTTTCTAGAAATCTGCGTCATATCATAATTAGTCCTTACCTAATAATTGTAACGGAATAAATCCTACAGCGATAATTCCAACTCAACATTGCACAGATTCAGATACATTTATAAAGGATGATATAATATTTTACGTGCTGTTCAACGGAGCAAAACAGGACAAAGAGTCAGAATTATTATAACTGACTGATGATCTTTATGAAAAAAAACTTTCGTTCGTTGAAATGGACCCAACTGAGCTCGCCGCAATTATGGAAGGCCAGAACGATAGGTGGTCCCGGTTGGATTGTGACTGATGAAAGACAACATGCAGTCATCCAACAATATCTAACTGCACAGTTTGAACTGTTTCAACTTGTTTCACAAATGAATTTGAAATTCCTTATTGGGGTCGTTTACTTAGAAGGATGTAAATTGCAATTAGAATGACCAAAACATGCATGGCAATTTCTACACAATTTTAAGTTTGTTGATTTACGCTGCGATCAGCAATGTTCCTGTTATCTTACGGTGGGTTGTAACTATTTGAGCCTCAACCACACCAACTACTGGTTGACAGCACCGTCCTACACAATAAGGGTACGATGACACAAAATCAACCAAGTCATCGAGCCTGCCCATCAGTTCCAAACATGTCTTACGACCAGCAATTAGGTTCCGGGGACTTATTCAGAGCCGGGTTTAGACAAAATAGTATGATAGGTGACAAGCTCTAAGAAATCCAACAATTACTGATTTAAGTGCCTTAGACTGTGCACCTGAAACATGCAGCTATATAACTTTGGTAGTTGTGTCATTCATATAAACCACCTCAACCTGTTACATGTAGATAACATATACTATGATCATATATCTACACGTGGTTGTATTTGCCTGGATCAATTTTAATTACACAAACTATACATATTCCATAACAATGATACAGGTGAGGCACGTTAACAGTCCGTCCCAAAGTCTATATGGTCCTGTTTATAAGCATCTTCCCGAGGCAGGAGCGTTAACTGACTTCACTTTTATAGTCAGTTAACTCTCTTGTCTCGGGAAGATGGTCCATAAGGTTCCATCTCATCGGGGATACAATCTGCGCGTTTATGTGACTGTAACCAATAGTATGTCAATACATTGTCTGAGGTACTTAATATATTACTAATCCTTTTTTCACGTTAAAACGAATTTAATTATATATTACATGTTTAGTAATTCAAATTAAGAAGATACATCTCTCCAGTGAGGAAGCTGATTTAACGAGGAAGTGGAAAAAACACATTGTCAAAGAGTGTTCATATGTTTCGTTCGAGGTGTTGAATAATATTGACATTCGTAAAGATGCTCTCTTTCGTTAAACACTTTACAAATACTGAACCTGCTGTGAAGAGTTTTTCTCACGAAGCACATATATCCTGATACATCACAGGACTTTATCATCCATAGCATTCGTCCATGAAATGACATTGCAGTGAATTGAACCTGTGTTATGAGCGACAAATAGGGCCTAAGGTAAATATATGATGAGTGTGGGTATTAAAATCTATGCCAAGACAGCTGCAACTTAAGGTTTAAATGATCAGCAGATGCGTGTGATGAATCCAAACACGTCAGAGAGATCTTTGTCAATCGTTTGGCATAAACACATACCGTATTCGTCGTAATAAGCGCTCCGCTCTGATAAGCGCCCGTGACGATATTTGCTAATATATTGTCTAGTGAACAATCACAATTAGGACCCTTTCCAATTGATCAATGTACACAAGACTTAATTATTCGTGTATAATACGCACTCGTGTGTTATATGCACCCTCAATTATGAGCAATTAAATTCTCGAAAATATATCTGTCATGTATAATACACACAGATTCTTCTTTTATATCATTTCAGGATGTCAGCATAAACCACAACATTTACAACCTTTAAACTCTTTTTTTTAACCAAAATTATTTTCTAACAAGAGCCCCCGTTTTCTAATTTGGAGAGCGACCTGGGCGCTTATTACGTCGAATACGGTACGCGTTTCTTTGATTTGGGCAGATTTTCGTACCTGTGCTTCGCCCCGACTGTGATTCTTTGTCTGTCAGCACCTTGTTTTACCAAAGAGGTAAGACCAGGCATCACTTTGGGCTTTCCTCCCGAATCAAGCGTGAATACTGTTCAATACAACTAATTAAATAATTTTAACTTGGGATCTGTACCGTGAATTATCCGGGTTAGAATTGGTCTTCAGCGACCCATGCTTGTCGTAAAAGGCGACTAACGGGATCTTGTGTTCAGGCTTGCGTAGATCGATTCTTATGATGTCAATCACTGAATTGTCTGGTCCAGATTCGGATATCTACAGACCGCCGTCATTTAGCTGAAATATTGCTGAGAGCGGCGTTAAACAAAGAAGCAAACAAACGATCATGTGGGATCTGTTTGCCATCTGTTTGGCTCTCTAACTAAGCTTGAGTAACGCTGAAACCGACTCAGAATTAAGGAAGACTTCAGAATTAAGGTAATATTAAGGTGTGTATGTATTTATGTCACGTCAATGACTAACTCATGATCAAGCAAATTCTTATACTTAAAATTGATAGATGATGTGTACATCACTGGATAGTCATTTCTATCATAATTTTAAATACATGCCTTGCATATTCACCCCGTGCTGATGTACCGCTTCTTGAAAAGCATTTCATTTATGTTTTGTGTCAGTTTGATGTGAGGGGACAGCCCGAACTGATCCATGTCTTTGACGTGTACCACTTCACTGAAACTCAAGAGCACGGGTATGATGCTAAAAACCTTCAAACATAACGAGGGCGAAACAGGATTCGAACCCATGATCATTGGTTTCTGGTATGTTATTAAGAGTGAGTGAGTGAGTATGGTTGTACGCCACTTTTTAGCAATATTCCAGCAATATCATCTCGGGGTACACGAGAAATGGGCTTCACACATTGTTCCCATGTCGGAAAGCAAACCTGGGTATTCGGCGGGACGAGCGAACGCTTTAAACACTGGGCTACCAGACCGCCTCGATCTTATTAAGAAACCATTCCGATCACAATATGGAATAATATTCGAATTGGACAATAAGAAGCTTCAAAAACACATATATCAAATTCAATTTTTGGAAACATTCCTACAAGTGTATCCTGCTTTTTATGAGAAGGTGTGACTGACCTTATGTTGCGCATGTTTTGATACTCAGAATGGTAAAATTATCTACTAAATTTCTATCCAGATTTTCGAATGAATGTTTGATCTGTACATATACTCCGAAAAAACACATTGTACATCATTCATGATGCATCTTCCACGATGCATCCTTCGAGTTTTAGCAATATTCCAGCAATATCACGGCGGGGGACACGAGAAATGGGCTTCACACATTGTACCCATGTCGGAAATTGAACCCGGATCTTCGGCGTGACGAGCGAACGCTTTAACCACTAGGCAACCCGACCGCCCCGATGTAATTAAGAAATCATTCCGATCACAAAAAGGAATTATGTACTGTGTGGACATGTTGGTTCTCAGTTCATTAACACATGGTACGAAACTATTAGAATCCGATCTCGTTCTATTATCCATTATTCAATTATTTCCTCTGTCAAAAGACGTCCATGATGGATACGCATGACTGTCAGAAATGTAATGTAGTGTGTTTCATTGCCATGACAGATAACTGTTGTCATATGAAAAGATCGGGTGGTCTATAACTTCTTTTGATGAATAGATATTAACATTGTTACGTGTCGACTTCAAAATTGAAAGAATAAGTAAACCAAGAAATCTATCTTAAAGAATTCCGTGTTGAATCAACAAATAGCAGAAAATGTTATACAATTATAAGTGGATTCTGTAATCAACTAGGTTTACGAATCAATACAAACTACTTCAAAGTAATTACAGTGGCAGTACACAATAGAGTGACAGTACAAAATTCAATGGGTATACAATTACAGTGGCAATGTAAAAGACAATAGCAGTGGTAATAGCAATAAAATCAGTGATGATAACATTCACCAGGCAGCAACAGTGTCAAGCTTCCAAAATAGACATAGGCTGGATATCCACAGTGAAAATACAAGCTTCACACAACCGCTGGTCTTGATGTAATGTGAGATGAGAGAGGCATGCTTCTGCCCACTTATATAGTATAATTACACTCAAGAGCGTATACCATGCTGGATTAGTCAATTGCTGTTCTAAAACGATTTCAGATTACACTTGACTCTTAGAGCATCAAGATAAATAGTAGAGCATCGAGTATAGTAAATTCACACCACTGCTTACATTAGATAATAATACAGCCCTGAGAACTAATTATTGTTTAATCACAATGTTATGAACGTCTACTTAATCTTAACGCTGATACACTTACATCATTTTTTAACAATGAATGACACTGCCATATATCAACATGTATTAGAACAGTTTGTTTCAAGCTGTGACGGGAGCACAATTTTTCGTTCATGTCATGTCTAATCCTACCTCATGCAGACTTGGTATGTGTGCCATTTAACTTCAAAACCATTTCCGTGTTTACACTGTATGGATGCACAGTTTAATACATTAATCTATATCAGTCTGATATATCGATGACAAACTGCAGCATATTTCTTTGTGGTTTACCCTTCTATGGTATGATAGTTATTGTTATTGTTTCATCAGATGACACCCGATCCTGCATCTACGCAGTGATGCGGTTCCCAAATGAAATGATTGGAACCGTGAGGTATTTCTGCATATAACACCTGGCCATTGCAGTCATGCTGGTTGCATGTTGTTGTGATGCACACTGCAGGAGGCCCCGGTAGGTCCTTAACGCCCGTGTTTAAGGCGTATGCCCGTCAGCTGTACAGATATATAAACGACATCCTCAAGTCTTTGCACATTATTGACTTCTGTTCTGAGCAGTTTGTGTATTTCTTCTGTAACCATGTCCCGTCCACTTTTTACCATTGTCCTTCTGTTGGTCGGCATCATTGCGCTCCAGTCTACCGAGGGTCGTCGACGATTCAAGAAGACACGCAAAACTGGTTTCATGGGTACGAAGGACTGTGAAGAAGCATTTGGCTCTGCCGCCAAGGATCATAATTCTGCTGCTGGCAAGGAACAGTTCTGTACCACGTATGGTAAGAACGTTTATGACCAGATCTATCTACCTATCGATCTGTTTATCTATATACTCGTGTAATAATAATAATAATAATAATAATTGAATGAGTGCGTGAGTATGGTTTTATGCCGTTTTTAGCAATATTCCAGCAATATCACGGCGGGGGACACCAGAAAGTGGCTTCACACATTGTAACTATGTCGGGAATCGAACCCGGGTATTCGGCGAGCGACGAGCGAACGCTTTAACCACAAGGCTACCCGACCGCCCCAATAATATTTGAGTATGACTGCCAATGAGTCATTATATTATTCTCAGAGGGATTAGGTGAGTTTGGTCTTAAGCTTTATCGCCTTTATCGACAGTATTTCTGTAACATCAGGGCGTATCTCCTTAATCTGCCCGGAGAGCGGTGAGTCGGTAGTTAGGTCTCATTGTACTTGTTACCCTGCCTGGCGCGCGCCTTTAAGGAGTTATATGTCAGCGGTTTATGTCCATGTTAAACCACGGCATATGATATCCCAGTGGGCGAGCACAATAAAACATGCATTCGTCCGGACTAGTTGAGCAGCCACACATCCACGTGCATGCAGGTCGCTGTGGAATTGCAATAATCTATAACGAGACAGTAAACCTCATCACCCCACTTCACCTCATCTCACTCCTTATAATGTGTGCGGAAAGCCAGGTGTGATTACGTTTATCCCCTGTGTAGAGTTACGTCCCTTCGACAGGGCAGGATCCTATTGTCATGAAATGGAATCCCAGATTTGATCTGAATATGACCTTTTGTTTCTCAACCATAATCCTGTAAGTTCAGCCAACCTAATCGTCTAGACCTACATCACTTCGGGCTTTCCTCCTACAGTAGGGGCCGTGTGGTAGCCTGGTTGTAAAAGACCGGGTTCGATTCCCCACAAGTGTACAATGTATGATACCCTTAAGTTTTCTGGTCACTGCCTCGATATGTCTGGAATAGGGCACTAAAGGCGGCGTAAAACCATACTTTCTCCCTCCCTCTTCACAGTAAGCTAACACGCCTTGATATAACTGAACTACTGTTAATAGTGTCGTTTACGCAACTCAACGCTCACTTGCCTCGAGAAGCACGACAACTATTCCTGGTGTAGGTAAATATGCCTCAAACACAGCTTTTTTAGGGGAAACTGGCCGCCACTATATGTTTGTCCAGAGTCAGATCAGAGCTGTAAAATATTAGCTAAAATTATTGCACATGGGATCAAATAGATATCCTGTACAGTGTCATTACTTCCTTAAAAAGCTAGATGAGAAAGGTAAGCACAGTTGGGTGACAGATCTTAAAAGTTGTTTTATATGTTAATGGTTTTTCATATGTCTGGAACTACCAAAATGTTGGTGATGTAAATATTTTGTTGTATCAATTTCAGGAAAGACTAAAAGATGTTGCCTCTCAAAATTGGTTTGCAAAATTGTCTGCTTCCAAATATTTATCTCATAATTCAAATGTTAAATCTTTGCTGAATGTAGAAAAATATATTGATTCTTTGCAGGATAAATCTCTCAGAAGAACCTTTTGTAAATTTAGGATTAGCTTACATAATTTTGATGTTCAGTTTCTACGTAAAACTCCCTCATATAATGAAAATAGTGTATGTAGATATTGTAACAAGGGTTGTATTGAAAATGAAGATCATGGCTTTTTTACTTGTGATTATTACCAGACTTTACGGAAACATTATATTACTCAACTACAGGATATGTATGACGGTTACCTGTCACTTCCAAATATTCTTAACTGCAAAAATGTCAATGTATACCTGTATAAGATATTTAAATTTTGAAAAACGTGACTACATTTATATTGTACTGACATTGTAATATAGGCCATATGGCCCACATTACCGAATAAATCTGTCTGTCTGTCTGAAAACGATTATGTGTAGTATGTACAAAAGCCGTCTCAATTGTTTCAGTGAACCTGTGTGGCGACATCATCCGCACCCCTCTGTTCCCCGAAGCCGTGAAGTGTGGAGGCTGCATCTTCGCCTGGATGACACACTGCACAAATCCTCCCCGCGGTTGACGCAAGAGTCACGTACAACCTTACAGGAGCGTGACTGCCGTCTTAGCTAACAGTTTAAGATAGCATGATCTTAACAACCCATAGGTTTGTTTTGTAAAGAAACGTTTCAGCTTGATGTGTATCTAGACTATGCTCTGATGTTACTAACTTGGGCGTGACTGCTTAAAGGAAAATTATTTTGTTTCTCTATTCATTTACGAAGTTAATGCTCTTAACATTTGAATAAACCATGTCAATATTCATATGTTTTTTATTCAGGTAACAATATATATTGTACATGTAGTATACTTATCGTATTTAACTCCATCTACGAGGATGTCTTTGCATAACTCCGAATTTAATCTTTAATTTGCCGTTGCATCGCTCACTTTAATCTTATGACTACCAAATTGGATGCCTTCGAATAGTTCATTTTTAATCTACCGAAGAGAATACTTAGGCATTGCTCACTTCGAATTCAATCTACCAAAGAGTAATGTCTTCGAATTTCTTACTTTAATCTACCAAAGGGGAGTGTTTTCGCATCGCTCACTTAAAAAAAGATCTAACAGGGTCAACATGACGTAAACAATGCTACGAAGTGATGGCATTAAAGTTTAACGTGATATTTCGGTATGGGACAACGATGCCTGTATTACGTCAGCAATCGTAATCTTGTAATGATATATTACTTCAACTATGCGTATTTGTCTTTCATATGGATTTATTATATCAACTCGTTTATTTAGAACAATATGCACAATGTGAAAACTAACCCACTTTCAGCTGACACGCAGATATTAAGTTAATTAACTCGGGACAGATCATGTTTAATACATCGCAGGATAATTCTATTCTTTTAATATAGACCCTCAGCTGAATAACATTGATGTCTGTATATAGACATAAAAGTTGGTATGTTTTGAGCGTCAGTGTTCTTCATAAAGGCCTTGAACAACACTTTCGTATAGAGTGAGTGAGTGAGTGAGTATGGTTTTACGCCGCTTTGAGCAATATTCCAGCAATATCACGGCGGGGGACACCAGAAATGGGCTTCACACATTGTACCCATGTCGGGAATCGAACCCGGGTCTTCGGCGTGACGAGCGAACGCTTTAACCACTAGGCTACCCGACCGCCCCTTTCATATAGAGAAGGAACACGTTTCTCTATCCAGTCCATGTGCATCTGTACCCCCTGGAAGATGCTGGGGAGGATGGTGATGCAGTCAGAACCAGGAGTAGCGAGACCCACCAACGTCGCACTGCCGTCACTGTTGTCGCACACCAACATCCAACCATTGGCATCCTGAAAAAAACATACTTGCCCGTAATGTCTCGTCTAATTAGATGATATTATTTTGTTCGTTCGAGAATGGACGTTCAGACCTTACATTACAACAGATAAAGGCATTGTAATTAGTTAATGAAGTACACAAATACAATGCATTTTATGGTGCATCAGTCGTGTTCAAAGCTTACCTCACAAGGAGCGAAGTTGTCTTTCCCGGAGTCCGTGCATACAGAGTCACTGTATACAGTCATGTTGGGATCTAGGTAGATGTAGATGGCTTGGCATGTTGTCGATGGTAGTAACGTCACGGGTGCTTGTTGTTGGGAGACGAGGATAACTGATGGAGTAGCTGTAACGTCTGGAACATAGGGACGAAAAACATCACATCACACTATTGTTCTTGCCATTGATTCTGAACCAAGAATTCACTGGCTATTCTGAAGGTGCATTTTAAACAAGTAAAACTGACGCAACAATTGCAATAAGTCAATACGCAAAATCATAATGAGTGAGTATTCCAGATATATCGTGGCGTGTCAGCTTGGTGTGGGAGGAAAGCCCGAAGTGATGCAGGTCTTAGACGTTTATCACTTTGGTGAAACCTTCGAGCACGGGTATGGTACTGACAAACCTAGAAACATAATCGGGGCGAACCGGGATTCGAACCCACAATAATAGGTTTCTGCACAGCGAATTGCGGAGCCTTAGACGACTAGGCAACCCATGCCCCTCAAAATAATAGAGAAACTATACATTAATCATCACTTGGTTTAAGACAGAAAAACCATTCGAATCTGTTGATTCCTAAAGTAAAATCAACATATTCTGTGTGGCGGATCTTCTAATCCGGATCTTCACAAAGAGACAACAACGCAATACTAGCTTCCACCTCTAGAAACAACATACCGTCTCTTTTCCATCCAGTCAATCGGCATCTGTCGCCTGTGTTGAAGACGTCGTTGGTGTTGGGAAGACAGGCCGCGGAAGCGCAAGTGTCTGGCTCGAAGCCGTTACCAACGTTCACGATAGCCAGATCACCTTCCACATCTGAAATCACATCCCTCGAACTTGAAGACCTTAGGTTCATCAAAGATAGAGCTTGTCACATTAGCAATATTGAACGTGTGTTTTACATGAGTGAGTGTGAGTGAGTATGGTTTTACGCCGCTTTTAGCAATATTCCAGCAATATCACGGCGGGGGACACCAGAAATGGGCTTCACACATTGTACCCATGTCGGGAATCGAACCCGGGTCTTCAGCGTGACGAGCGAAGGATTTAACCACTAGGCTACCCGACCGCCCTTGTTTTACATGAAACAATGTAATTCTATGACGTGTAAGTCAAGTGCTATCTTTATCGGAACTATCACGTGAAGGTTTAATATTATTAAGGCGTGTGTTTGTCCCAGATGTAACTCATACGTGTCTAAATATGTGATTCTGTATTCAAGTATCAATCAAAACATAACAACAGAAATCAAGACGTCAGAATGGAGGCAAACCTACGAATGTCAATGGAGGAAAACCCATTCCTGAAGGTAAGTCAATATAAAAACGCCAACAGATGTTTTCAGGTGTAAAAGACATTGGGAATAGAACAAGAGGTTCATGTCCGACGAGCGAAGTCACTACAGTTACAGAGATCCACAATGATTCAACAGTTCATTGCCATTAAACCTTCATCAGTACACTAAATGTCGGGCGGTGGGTTAGCCTAGTGGGTAAAGCGTTCGAAGACCCGCATTCGTTTCCACACATGAGTACAATGTGTGAAGCCCATTTCTGGTGCCCCCCTTCCACCCGTACCAGTGTGCTTCACCAGAACGGTAATAGACAATTAAACGGTAACGACCTGAACCACTTCGGGCTTTCCTCCCACATAAAGCTAACACGCCGCGTCGTAATATAAGTGAAAGAATTTTTCAAAGAGGCGTTAATCCCAACTAAATCTCTCATTTGTTTTATGATGAGGGATAAAGACAACAATAATGTAATACCTAAGGTCTCCGCGGTCTGTTCGAACAGTGTCACATTGGTAATAGTCCTGCTCTGTGTACCGCCTGTCTCACTGCCGGCGACTGCAAGCGACTGCAGTGTTGGCACGTCTAGGATTCTCTTCAAACTGGTTTTGTTGAACCAAACAACGTCATTATAAATCATGCATATAACAACAACAGAGATGCACAAAAGATACATTTATACTTCAAGTAACATAATTTAGTATAAAACAAAACGTTTTAACGTACAAATCGTGAATGAATCGTTCAAATAGAAAGGACGAGCTATGATATGGGTTATATCAATTGTAAGTCGGCTGAATATAACTTATAACGTCATAACAATACTTCAAAGGATTGTGTAAATGTGACATTCCATTGGCCAAATTGGGTCTTCTTAGTCACGTCCAGATGTGGACTTTATAATACTGATATAGCGTGACATTCAAAAAGCATGAGAACAAAATATAAATAACAATACGATAAATTGTTTGATAGGCATTACTTAGAAGTGGACGGATGACAAGGTAGACACAATATTATGGATAACAACTTCTTTAATACTATAAAAAGCTTTTTACGGTATTAAAGAAGTTGTTATCCATAAAATTGTGCCTACCTTAACAATACGATAATTTAATTTTGCTGTAAGAATGACAGCCTACTGCACAGACCAAGCGGTCAAACTACTCCTGATGAGGTCAACATGCTAGAATCATTGGCGAGTACTTTTTCTGAGTGTGCAACACCACAGTCTGTAATATTGTACACAGCTGCCTGAACAAAATATAACTGTCCCTGAATCATGCAAACCGATAACATGAGAAACGACCCCAAATGTCAGGTGACAGGGCACACGATGAGTCATGAGCACATACACATGCATCACCCGGACCCTCGTTTTAGTCGACTCTTGCCGCAAGCATGGGGGAGAAGGACTTGTCTGCCCCAGAATGGTTTGTTCAAGACATTGTATAAAACAGGCGACCAAATGGATTGGCAAGTTAAATGGTTGATTGCGTGTCATCGTACCCCGACGACAAGGATCATTGTTCACAATATCAATCACTTGACTGGCTGGTCCAGGCTTTACAGGCACAGATATAGGGTACAAATAAACAAATAATTGTATGCTGTAACAAAATGAACTGTTTGATAATAGTATTACTGGTATTTTCCTTACCCCTTTGCACATGCTGCTGTTGTAAGGATCTCCGTCATCGACAGCAAGACCCCCGAACAAACGGGAAACCTGTAGGGAGCATCTCCATCTGTGTTGATGATTTGGAGGCTGACCGTCCACGGGTTACCAGAACAATCAGTCACCGGAACTGTACTTGTTTGATCCCTTACCGAGCCACAACCTACAGATAATGGTGGAAACAAGGTTCGCATAACAAGTTAAAGAACCTAGCTGTCTGATAATGATGATGATGATGTTGATGATGATGATGATGATGATGAGTGTACTTATATTGGGCTAGACTCATCCACAATGTGCATCCTCAAAGCGTCGGCATGTGCGGATATCATAACGTCATGAGTTTGATCCATTTGCGCTTTGAATTACTACTCGAAAAGTCCATGTCGTTACATGTATTTGTTCACGTGGTATGTACATTGTAGCGACAAAAAACAGTTCCATAAGAAGTATCTCCATTGTACCCTTACGACAATATCATAAACAAGCATTTATGAATCCCTGTCAAAAAGTGATGAAACCAGGTGTTTGTGAAAAGATAGGCGTATCCTGCCCATCGGAGGCATGCGTCACAAACACATGCAAAGGCAAGACAAAAACATTCAGCTCATAAAATCCCTTACACCTTGCTAGTGACACGTGAATTTCAAATTACAACTATGTTTAATTCTTGTCTGAGACAACTATTTTTTTCCAAGGTTATTGAGCGCTAACGCTACATAATATTTATCTGTGGGAGTAAGCCCAAACTGATGCATGTCGGTTACGTATCGAGAGTCAGTATAACAATCGGCAATGTATGATACTGACAAGTACTGGAGCACTGGGTTCCACGAGTTTGGAGTAGTGACATTGGATGAATTCACGCCAAAAAAACGTGTTACCACAGATCCCGCTGCATTTAGTTCGTGCATCTCGATAGCCGTTGGTGAAAACACGTTGTTCGGTGCTGAACACATATAAGCATACACCTTGGTTTGAAGACAATAGCAAAGTGTTATATTAGGGTTAATGCCTCTAGGTTGTGTTGTTTCATGTGATAGTCAGGTGAACGAAACAAAGTCCAACAAGCCTTCCTGCCCCATTCGTGACCAACTCGGGACAAGCGGAATTGCGACTCGTGCCCCTCTCGTGGCCATTTTTGCGACTGGGTTCCGTCTAAGCGCAAACGGGCACAGCTAAAAGAACTCGTTGCATGATGATTCACGCATATTTCCCCCATTTATCATAAGTAGGCCACTATTTAAAACACAGCGGGACTGTACAGGACTATGCAGCCTGATGGAACACATCCAGTTGTATATCTTGGGTATACTTTCAGATGCAAATCAAAAATCAAAATGGATTCTTTGACAGAAGTCCTACGCGCATTCTGATTGGTTTGTCGTATTTTCGCACACAACATTTATCGATTGGGGGACGAGTCTTCTTACAGGTTACGGAAAGGGGCGAGTGGTGACGAATGTTCCTGCCCGTGCTGGGTCAGGTCCTTCTCGGGTCCTATTAGACTTATATTAGGCTAGCCGAGTGACAAATGGATTTGAATCCATCACCAGTGGATTAATGCAGATCAACGCCATGAGATTTTTATTGATCTTATATATTTAGCGACATACTTCTCTTCACCACTGGAACAGTTGTTGATGTTGAAGACGCAGTGGTTGGAGATGTCGTTGGCACAGTGGTTTCTGAAGTATCTGGACTCGTCGATGTCATCACAGGCGATGTTGTTGGGGTAGTCGGTGTCGTTTCTGAACTCGCTGTTGTTGTAGTCGCAGATGAAGGAGTCGCAGATGTAGTTGCAGATGTTGTAACTGTACTTGTCGTTTGCGGTACTAAAGAAAGCACAAAGTAATCATCCTCAGTGTATCCATTCGTCTTCAACACAGCTCAGTAAATATACATCAGGATAAGAACTTAACGCTTCACATTCTTTATACAAAATAATCATTTATCCTGAACGTCCATTTAACGTCTGGAGACATAATGATTACATAAGGCACCGATTTTCTCTTAGTACATGTCTAAGATAGCACCACTATCTGATGAAAACTGGTGAATGAACACCTTAATGTTATACCAGATGGACGTAAGTACTGGTTCACGTCATATCGTTTTTGAGATATTCCTACCAGTGGAATCCTGTGATGTATTCGGCCATGGCGGTCATTTGTAAGAGACAGGTAAGTGGAACTGTGCTTTGAGTTAGACTGACTCTGTGCACAATGTGTCGTTGGCTAATCGAACAGTGATCGGAAAACGTTCGTGACCAGGATCCAGATTGTGTCTGGTTTGTGGAGTTTCTGTATCACGTCGAGGATTCACCTATTGTGCACGTGCTTTGCCACATGTCTGTTACTTTGTCAGATTGTATTCGCAGTTGTGTAAGTATTAAATAATTGTGGGTTTTGGTAATAATTAAACATTGTTTATAGTGAAACAGAGGTGGGTCCTTCCTTTTGGTACTTGAGACACTTTGTCACTCGTAACACGACTAAAAATAATTGAAAAAAATCACGCGATTCTTTCATGTTACTAGTCATGGCATGACAGATTAGTTTTAGTAATTTGAAAGAATGTGTCATGGCATGACAGATTAACTTTAGTAATTTGAAAGAATGTGTCATGGCACGACAGATTAATTTTAGTAATTTGAAAGAATGAGTCATGGCATGACAGATTAACGATAGTAATATGAAAGAATGTGTCATGGCACGATAGATTAATTTGAGTAATTTGAAAGAATGTGTCATGGCATGACAGATTAACTTTAGTATTATGAAAGAATCGGGCGGTGCTTAACTGTTCTTGAAGTACATGATTGACCAATCACAAAACATGTCACTGAATAATCGTTTTCTGTGTTAAAAAATGAAAGGAAAACATGTATATTAAAAATTGTAAGAAAAATATACCTTAATTATAAACTGCCGGTAAAAAAAGTATATACTAAAGTATGAAATTAAAAATCGGATTTGACCAAGAAATTACAATCTTTATCAAAACGTTACCTGAAAACAGTCGCCGAGACTGCAAGCGTCAGGTCCTAAATACAACTATGAAATCCGTGACAAATCATCACCAACGAATAACCCTTTCTTATGTGTTTGATTTTTAGCCCCCAGCAAAAATGGCTGTATAAATGCATGTGCCCTGTAGTATATTATCAACATCTACATTAATCCACCGACAAGACCATAACTTGTTTTTAAAACTGAACATTAGATGATATTTTACTCTTATCACGTTTTGCTCACACCAAAACCTTCAAAATATTGAAAAGACAGTTTGTAAAGTATTACTGAATATTCTCAAATGAGATATAAGGTGCCCCACCCGAGTAAGAATAGATCTCGGTATTAGTTACCACCCGAGTTAGAATAGATCCACATGTAGCTATTTTTTATAGTTACACAACGACAAGAATGGATCTCTTTTGTCTGGTTCGGTGATACTTGATTGATTCTATGCCGGCGTGGGACTGATGAACCACTGTATCAACCACTGGTTTCTCTGTCACAGACGCCATTATTTATTGGCTTGCGTGAAATAGCTCGAATATATTGCTGACTGTGGTGTAAAACAACAAACATTCATAGTAAATGAGGTATCTCACACAACAAACAGCCTGCCCTGCGGCATTGCCCAGTCTGTCTGGCAGCTCCGAGACACTGCCCAAACTGACATGTCCTTGACCTTGTCCTTACTCCATCCCCGCAGGACTCTGTGCAGGGACTCCACGTCGTCCACGCGCCCCATATTCCAGGGGATCTGTCTATTACAAATGTTATAAGGCGTGTTATTTTTCACTGTTTTGACAAAAATGTCATAATCCAAAATTCAATAAAAATGCGAGAAATAGCCACCTAGAATACTATTCATAGCTTCATCGGAACTCCAAGCAGTGGACGGCTTTGTCTTCCTGTAAGCGCGATTAGTTTATTTAATATTCTTGTGACATGTCACAAAAATCATATGAAAAACATAATTTGAAATTTTCTGATTTTCGTATCCAACCGAACTCTATTTGTTTAAATTTTTTTTGAAAACATTGAAGGGTCTATTATTTTTTTTTATTATTTCGATCGTTTATTACCGTATTATACAATTATGTTTTGTATCGAATTCTTACCAGATTTACAACAAGCTCCTCCACGACAGAACAGGACGGAGTCCGGCACAGGGAGTCGTGTTTCAGAGACACGACATGACGTCCGACAAGTTCCTCGATACAGCTGCCTGCATACTGCAACACGGTGACTCACGTCCATAAATAACGGCTTCCAAGTGTCGAGAGCTCATTCTAACGGCTTCCAAGTGTCGAGAGCTCATTCTAACGGCTTCCAAGTGTCGAGAGCTCATTCTGACTTTCATTTTATCATGGAACAGAGATGCCTGTCATGGGAACATGATGTTTATCTCAAAGGTATCTTTCAAATGTGTTTATGAATGAATGTTAACACCGCGAACAGTAATACTCCAGGGCCCTCTTGCACAAAGCGATCTTAGCGCTAAGATGATCGTAACTCCCATACTTTAACATAGGCTTACAATAGTCTTAGCGCTAAGATCGCTTTGTGCAAGTGGGCCCAGCAATATAATGGCGGTCTGAAAAGGACAGACCAGACACACCAGCGAATAGAAGCATGAGCAAGAAACAGCGCCGACATGCGACAAGGTCTTCCAGCCATTGGTTCATGATCAACGTGTGGAGGTATTACCTGTGTAATGGGACACTTCCGGTGAAAACTACGACAAATGTCGATTTTTCCAACATCGGGTGACGTAATACCGAGTAAGAGTTATGCCCCTTATTGTAAACAATAATGGCGACAGACAGAGACAGGTGTGGCCGATTCCAGAAGAATCCACCCAAAATAGTAAAATCGAACGTCCTTATTGATTATAAGTACGAAGCTGGCCATGTTTGTTTGACGACACTTGCAAGGACGACGACTGTCCTCTTTTTCGGAACATAAAACTAGGCAAATACACAAGCATGTGTATTTGTTGTGGGTTAATGCTTTCAACATTTTAGTTGTATCACAACGTGTCATCGTTATGTGACAGCAAAACCCGAACTAACGCCGGTCTTAGACGTTCGCCACTTTGGTCATTCGTCACCACTCGCCCCTTTCCGTAGCCTGCAAGAAGACTCGTCCCCCAATCGATGAATGTTATGTGCGAAAATACGTCAAACCATTCAGAAGTTCTTCGTCAAAGAATCCCTCAGAAATAATTTTGATTTTACATATGTCTTGCATCTAAAAATAAACCAATATTCAATCATACTTATAATTTCGCACGTCCCGATGTGCTTAAAACTGCATCTGAAATATATATAATATAAGGGGAAATATATGTGAACCATCACGCAACGAGTTGACAATTGTTTTAGGCATGCCCGTTTGCACTGAGACGGAACCCGGTCGCAAAAATGGCCATGAGAGGGGCACGAGTAGCTATTCGGCTTGTCCCGGAATACCACGAGTTGGTCACGAATGCACTTTGGTGAAACGAGCACGGACATGGTGCTGACAAACCAAGAATCCAAATAAAGACGAATCTGGAATTCAGATCACCGACCCTGCGTTCTGGAACGCCTTAACTGAACTCTGCCCCTCAATTCCGACAAATATTAAACACATGCACTAGAGCAAATAAAACAACTATAATTATGAAATACTCACATGAGTTTTCGGCAAACTGGGACAGAACTTGACATATACAGAGATATGTAAACGAGAGTAATACAAATACTCGCCGTAGTAACATTTTCATCTTTAGTCACAACAAACGACGTGCTCTTATAACGGAATTATGCACAATGCCTTGACAACAAGACATCTTTGTCATTATCACACGGAGACACCCAACCTTGAAAATCTTAAGTAATTGTTGGGTGACAATGTGTTTATCATAAGTTCCTGGTCGAGCAACGTGACGGAATTTTTATTGTAAAAAATTGTAGAAGGGTTTTCTTTCCTTGTGATGTAATCGTGGTGTGTGCATGTAAACCTTCAATGATGAATTGTTTAGCGCCTAACAATGGGCGCCAAGATGGGACAGGAAAACAGAACCTTTCTATCTTATTGTTTTGCATGGAAGTAAATTAGTATGTACGTAAATATAGGGAGGGTTGAGTCAACCTACAAAACGGTTCGTGTCGCTATTTTGTTTTGAGTGTTTTAAATAGAATTTGTCCTAGCTAATTCGGAGGCGCGAAATGAAAACATTCTCCAAATAGTTGTGTTTCCATAATTCACCCGAAACACAATAAACAACTTGTGTTCAAATAACATGCACTCTTAGTGTATTTGGTAGTGTTATGCATATGAACATACTCAAACATAAACTACAAAATTCCTTCCATGATTATAAGAAATCTCATAAGTACATTGTACAACTCCCATAACCTTAAATTGTGATGATACCAACTGTTCGCGAATAGGTGAGCTTATCCTGCCCCATCGATGGCACAAGTGATAAACACATGCAAATGCAGGTCAACCATTCACCTGAAAAAAATATGGTACAAGTCAAAATAATGAGTTGCATCAATTATTCTGGTCACTGATGCGTCAAATTTGGAAATGGAATTTGACATGTTACTCGACATGAAGTGAACGCTGGCCATTGGAAAGTCGGAGTCATCCCTCTTTTCATACAGTCTTGCGGATTGTTCTTTTCTCATTCTTTATGCATAGATCTAAATATGAAACAGATGAGGCCGGTTTCACTGATGTCTTTCGTTTCTAACACAGGTGGGTAAAACAGTAGCAGAGAATTGGTTATTTGTCCGTTATTGAACGATATCAGATCACCGATATACCTGATGCTTAAGTTAGTCAAATTTACATTCGCCTTGTTTTGATGTTGCTTATCCGAGAAGGAATTCTGAAATCGTATGCATGACAAATCACCTAGAAAGGAACACAATTAGTTCCATATTGATGCCCACGTCTTGCCTATATATCTTATCCACAAATTTTACACATGTAGATGTTATCAATGAGGAGTCCTGCATTTCACGAATTGTTTTCTCAGTAACCTTCAGACGACATTTGCTTTCACTTTTGACAAAATGTCCTGAACCTCGAAGAAAATAAAATCTATATATATGGTCACCGCGTTTAGTGACAAGTGCCCCATGGATCTAGGAGTGAAGTTTTTCCTTATGGAATTTCAACCAATTCCTTTGAATCCACAAGCTGTTTATTTCATGTGTCTCAAATATTTTTTTGTGAGTGAGTGAGTATGTTTTTACGCCGCTTTTAGCAACATTCCAGCAATATCACGACGGGGCCACCAGAAATGGGTTTCACACATTGTACCCATGTCGGGAATCGAACCCGGGTCTTCGGCGTGACGAGCGAACGCTTTAACCACTAGGCTACTCGGCCGCCCCGAATATAAATAACGTCCTTTTTGGATTGTCTTAAGGATTATGGTCAACCTTTGAAACACATTGGTGGCTCATTTGCTGGACCGAGCAGTATACTTGTACATGTATTTCGTAGTGCCCATGGGGATGCCAACTTCTTGCTTAAATATAGGGATGAAAACGTATAAGAAAGAATAACATTGATATATCATTCGAGTTGAATAAGACTGCAGGAACTACTTTCAGTCTGCTTTAATATTTTGTTTGTTTGTATGTTGTTCAACGCCGCTCTCAGCAATAGTCGAGCTGTAGGACGGCGGTCTGTAAATAATCGAGTCTGGACCAGACAATCCAGTGATTGACAGCATGAGCATCTATCAACGCCATTGGGATACGATGACATCCATCAACCAATGACATTCATGCCCGATCCCGTAAGTCACCTCTTTCCAAAAAGCATAGTCGCCTTTTAGGGCAAGCATAAGTTGCTGCAGCCCTTTCTACCCCGGATCTTCACGGGTCCTGCTTTTCAGTGCAAGACAGTGTAGACCAGTAAGAAAAAAGTAACTGTGCTTCATGCAAAGCAAATATTTGGTCAATCTGATCAGTGTTGTTATCATAACAAATGCATTGACAAAACTCATACTCGTTAACATGAAAGAGGATTGGTAATATAGCAAACTGAAGTAACAATGTCGATATCGGATGCGACCAATATTTGCGTTGTTACAGGCGAGGCAGCAGTGGTACGTTGAGGATGCTAGATGATTGAAAATAGCCTGGGGGTGATTGTTCCATATTTCTTCCAGAGATCAAACAGAGCTAGCGTTGCTGTCTGGTTCTTGTCCTGTCTCACGCCAGACTTGCTCTATTGGGGAGAGGTCAGGAGAAACCGTCGGCCATGACAGTTCAGCAATGTTATGCTGCCTAAAACATTGGACAGTGGCAACATTTGGACAGGCATTATCCTGTTGCAACGTGATGTTATGTCACTGCATTTGCACAAAGGATAGAACATGATCTCGAATAATGTCGTCCCGGTAGCCTACGCCATTTAAATTGCCATTAACATAGATGAGTTGTGTTCTCTCATGGCTTGTGATGCCACCCCATATCATTACACTTCCACCTCAGTGTCGGATTTTGCGCTCCAGTTGCGTATGGTTCTGCCATTAATTGGTCTCGACCCAGGATTTGTCCGGCAGTTTAGTATCGATTCCCTAAATGCACCAACCGAATATGGTTGTCTTGTTGACGTGAAGTCACGCGTGTACGGGGGCAGTCAGGCAGCCTAGTGGTTAAAGCGTTCGCTCGTCACGCCAAAGACCCGGGTTCGATTCCCGACATGGTTACAACGTGTGAAGCCCATTTCTGGTGTCCCAGCAGTGATATTGCTGGAATATTGCTAAAAGCGGCGTAAAACCATACTCACTCACTCACTCACTCACTCACGCGTGTACGGCACGCCCGTGGCAGGCCATGGGTGTTGCCCTGGTGTATATAACCTCTCCAAAGAAGTTATATGGTGTTTCAATGAACATCAAAATGTCTGGCAAGTTCGTTCCATTTTCGCCTTTCCTGTTTGAAGCCTAGCTACGTCGCTTTAATTTTCAACAGGCCGTGGCATTGCGAAGGCGTTATTTGGGGTTAACTAAAAGTGTTTTATGAGTACCTGATACAGGTAGGTAAACAATCATTGTGTGAATGTCATGCTCCCCAAAACAGCAAACGTCCAAATTGTGCGCCGTGCATGTGTAAAATGTAAATCACGACCTTATAGTCGAGGAGGTGTCTTAATGAATATGTATGGAAAGATGCATTATCTAATTTCAGAAGAATTTTATTTTTATTGAACTATATATGAAGCAAAGTCACTATTTCCGTTGGTATACATAATCAATAAAACAACTGTCTTTTCCTATCACGTGATATATTTATTTCACTTCGTGATCTGAAAAAGTCACTCGTCAAAATTTCACTCGAAAAGCCAAATCCTATATTTTGTATACAATGTATGTGTAAGAGGGTATTAACGTCATTTGTTTCCACTGATAATGTGGGCGAGTAAGTATGGTTTTACGCCGCTTTTAGCAATATTTCAGCAATACCTGTCTAATCGAGTCTTGATTAGACAGTCAAATTCGAACGTTCCACACTGTCTGTTAACTAAGACTCTCTGTCAGCCATGTCACCGAGTCTGACCACCCGACCCATTTAGTCGTCTCCTATGATCTGCTGGAGATCTGTTCCTACTCAGATTCCCTACGGGGGATATGCGATATGAGTACATGGAGGTGTATATCAGTTAGGAAAAATATACACTACATTTTCAAGACTTTATGATTTTATTACAACATAAGTACATACAACCACAAAATTATTTTTGGATAATACAACATCATAAAGGTTGGGAGAGGATAACAAACACATTTCAGACATTCAGTCATTGCTTCCAACAAACCGATCAGAAGAACCTATACATTCTGAGAAAGTGAGTGAGTATGGTTTTTACGCCGCTTTAATCAATATGACGGCGGGGGACACCAAATATGGCACAGCTTCACACATTATACCCACAGTGGGAATAGAACCCGGGCCTTCGGCGTGACGAGCGGACGCTTTAAACACTAGGCTACCCAACCGCCACCGATGTTATTAAGAAAACATTCCACTCACAATATGGAATTCTGTAATGTATAAAATTTGGATAGGACTGTAAGAAGCTTCAAAACTAACAGAGATATCAAATTAATTTTTTGGAATCATTTTTAAAGGAAACTTACCTGCAAATGTATCATGCTTGTTATGAGAAGGTGTGACTGACGTTATGTTGCGCATGTGTTGATACTCAGAAGGGTAAAATTTCCTACTATCTACATTTTCGAATGAATGTTTGAACAGTACATACTCAAAAAAACGTACATCTTTTATGATGCATCTTCCACGATGCATCCTTCGAGAAGCCATTCCACAAACGTTTTAGTTTAGTCTAGGCTGACGCGACAACAATACAATGCTTAAGTAGTTAATTGTGTGTTTTACTGCTGATTTGAGCAGAAAGTGAATTCCACTGTGACGTATTTTGGTCCCGTGGTACTTTAGGTCTTCCAGCCTTTTAGTATGACTCGATGACTATCTTTACGATTATCGTTATCGTCCAAATACACTGTCTTAGTTTCATTGCCCAACTTCCTGATGGCTACGATATCCTAATATTGCAACTTTGAAAGCATTATTATATGTTTGAATCGAAATTTCTCGTTATTTCAATTATTTGTTTATTTTTTCGAAATTCAAATCATTTTCTCGTAATTTCGATTATTTAATCGTTATTTCAGTTTTATTTTAAAAACTCGAAATTTCGAGAAAAGAATTGAAGTAAAGAGAAATTTCGATTAAACAAATATAATTATGCCT